ATGGTTTGCACAAATACGTACTTCCAAACATCGAAGTGAATATTTCCGCATGATTTGTGAAATTTTGATAAATATTTTCTTTAAGAAGATACATTCTTACAAAATATATACAGTGATCAGTCTCTCGAATAGAATATGAATTTTATTTCCTTATTGCTTTGCAATATATTCGAATATTTACTGCGCTATTGAAGCCCTGCACTCAGCATCAACTTTTCTGCGTGTTTCCATTTGTCTAATTATAATTAAATTGTAGGCTCGTTAAACGAGTGGCTGTTCACTAAATTGTTAGGATATAGTATAATTCAGTATAAACGTGTCTCGCGATAAATTCTGTTACGTAAAAAAATGTAATTTACTCCTCGAGCGTAGATTATAAATAAAAAAAAATTCATCGTCAAAACCGCCGTTTGGATATTTCCCCGGGCATAGACTTCTTTGTTTACTTCGTGACACTGGCCAATCAGCAAGATGCAAAAAACGTAACAATGCCCCTTTTCGTATCCGCTCAGACACTTTCACTCAGATAGATTTTCAGGCGTGGTCGTGAACATTACCTCATTTTCGCGTTTTTGAATTATATTCGTTAGTTTTTAGTTGTTTTTCGGAAATTTGAATATAAATCAAATAAGTCAATGATTACTTTGTCTTTCTATGAGTTTCAGTTTAAATACAGCAATCAAAAATTAGTGTAGAAATAGCTGTGATAGACTAGACTAAAATTCTTTATCGGTACTTTTAAAAAACAGATTGTTAAATGGTGTGTATTAGAATTATAATTTGAAACAAATACCCCATTTCACAGGCAACAACTCGCGAAACCACTCTTAAAATAAGCACCGAAAATTTTTAAATGGTAAAGTATGGGAAGAATTTTCCGCAGTCAAAGGCCGGGGAAAGGTCCATTCAGTGAATCGTCCCGGGCCAGAATATTTTATTCCGGCCGTATTTTTCCAACCACCGGGATACGCAAACTACCTTGCCTTACTGCGAAGACGAGACCAGAAATCCTTTCGCCTGTGATAATCGCCCACGTGATTCAAGCCTGCGAATTCACACAGAGTACAGAATTAAGTGCGCCGAACATAAAACAGGTTTCGCGAAATCGCCCCCCCTATCGCCCCCTAAGACTTTTTCGCCCCCCCCCCCCCTGTATCGTTTTCGCCCACTGGGGGGCGATATCGCCCACTTTGGGAATCACTGGTCTAAACGTGCAGACGATCACCCGAAATCAAGCCAGTTATTTCTACCACTGTGAATCCAGCGGAATTTCAGCGGAAAAATATTCTGCAGTTTTCAACCGGTTCCCATGCGAAAAATAATCTCTTATTACAATATTTATAAGGGATAAATGGATCCTATTTGAAATAATATGTTCCGAAGGAAACAACTCAGACCAAAATATAAGTTTAAGCACATTTAGCTGGTAGTGGTAATTACAACATACATAACTGTATATCACATAAAACAGAAAAACTGAAACGTATTAGAATATACTTGCAGAATGAAAAAAAATACAAAATAAAATAGGCTACATTTGATGGGAACACAAAAATATCGGAAAATATTTTTTTCAATGTTACATGCAAACTCTAGGGTTCGAGACCAAATGCGAATATGACCCGCAAAGTTCTCACAATTTTTAACAGTAATTTGTAATAGTACCAATAGTGATAAGTATTATATATAAAAGTTGAAGGGAGCAAAGCGGGACTTTATGATTTATGGGGTTTCAAATACAGGACAAAAACAAGATTTTCTGAAATTTGATGCGAACTCGATACATCGAAGCCAGATTCGAACATGTTGCTTTATTTGCCGACAACTTTTGACAACGATTTCGATGGCATGTACAAGTCAAGTGTCTAACACCAAAATATGATCAACAGCGGAACAAAACTTAACAAAATATGGCCCTTCAAAAATTGACAACAAATCATAATTTGCTATATTTCGTGCGAACTCAATAATTCGATGCCGAATACGAATATGATCCGCAATATGCCGACAACTTTTAACAGTAATTTTGAATAGTACCAATAGTGAAAAGTATTATATATGAAAGTTGAAGGGAACAAAGCGGTACTTTATGATTTATGGGGCTTCAAATACAGGCCAGAAACAAGGTTTTCTGAAATTTGATGCGTACTCGATATATCGAGGCCGAACTCGAATATGTTGCTTTATATGCCGACAACTTTTGACAACGATTTCGATCACATGTATAAGTCAAGTGTCTAACACCAAAGTATGATCAACAGCGGAACAAAACTTAACAAAATATGGACCTTCAAAAATTGACGAAAAATCAGATTTTGCTGTATTTTGTGCGAACTCAATGATTCGATGCCGAATTCGAATATGATCCGCAGAGTGCCGACAATTTTTAACAGTAATTTTGAATAGTACCAATAGTGAAAAGTATTATATATAAAAGTTGAAGGGAACAAAGCGGGACTTTATGATTTATGGGGCTTCAAATACAGGCCAAAAACAAGATTTTCGGAAATTTGATGCGAACTCGATATATCGAGGCCAAATTCGAACATGTTGCTTCATTTGCCGACAACTTTTGACAACGATTTCGATGACATGTACAAGTCAAGTGTCTAACACCAAAGTATGATCAACAGCGGAACAAAACTTAAAAAAATATGTACCTTCAAAAACTAACAAAAAATCAGAATTTGCTATATTTCGTGCGAACTTAATAATTCGATGCCGAATTCGAATATGATCCGCAATATGCCGACAACTTTCAACAGTAATTTTGAATAGTACCAATAGTGAAAAGTATTATATATAAAAGTTGAAGGGAACAAAGCGGGACTTTATGATTTATGGGGCTTCAAATACAGGCCAGAAACAAGATTTTCTGAAATTTGATGCGTACTCGATATATCGAGGCCGAACTCGAATATGTTGCTTTATATGCCGACAACTTTTGACAACGATTTCGATCACATGTATAAGTCAAGTGTCTAACACCAAAGTATGATCAACAGCGGAACAAAACTTAACAAAATATGGACCTTCAAAAATTGACGAAAAATTAGATTTTGCTGTATTTTGTGCGAACTCAATGATTCGATGCCGAATTCGAATATGATCCGCAGAGTGCCGACAATTTTTAACAGTAATTTTGAATAGTACCAATAGTGAAAAGTATTATATATAAAAGTTGAAGGGAACAAAGCGGGACTTTATGATTTATGGGGCTTCAAATACAGGCCAAAAACAAGATTTTCGGAAATTTGATGCGAACTCGATATATCGAGGCCAAATTCGAACATGTTGCTTCATTTGCCGACAACTTTTGACAACGATTTCGATGACATGTACAAGTCAAGTGCAACAGCGGAACAAAACTTAAAAAAATATGTACCTTCAAAAACTAACAAAAAATCAGAATTTGCTATATTTCGTGCGAACTTAATAATTCGATGCCGAATTCGAATATGATCCGCAATATGCCGACAACTTTCAACAGTAATTTTGAATAGTACCAATAGTGAAAAGTATTATATATAAAAGTTGAAGGGAACAAAGCGGGACTTTATGATTTATGGGGCTTCAAATACCGGCCAAATACAAGATTTTCTGAAATTTGATGCGTACTCGATATATCGAAGCCAAATTCGAACATGTTGCTTTATTTGCCGACCACTTTTGACAACGATTTCGATGACATGAACAAGTCAAGTGTCCTACAAAGTATGATCAACAGCGGAACAAAACTTAACAAAATATGGCCTTTCAAAAATTGACAAAAAATCATAATTTGCTATATTTCGTGCGAACTTAATAATTCGATGCCGAATACGAACATGATCCGCGATATGCCGACAACTTTTAACAGTAATTTTGAATAGTACCAATAGTGAAAAGTATTATATATAAAAGTTGAAGGGAACAAAGCGGGACTTTATGATTTATGGGGCTTCAAATACAGGCTAAAAACAAGATTTTCTGAAATTTGATGCGTACTCGATATATCGAGGCCGAATTCGAATATGTTGCTTTATATGCCGACAACTTTTGACAACGATTTCGATGACATGTACAAGTCAAGTGTCTAACACCAAAGTATGATCATCAGCAGAACTAAACTTAACAAAATATGGTCCTTCAAAAATTGACGAAAAATCAGATTTTGCTGTATTTTGTGCGAACTTAATAATTCGATGCCGAATACAAATATGATCCGCAATATGCCGACAACTTTCAACAGTAATTTTGAATAGTATCAATAGTGAAAAGTGTTATATATAAAAGTTGAAGGAAACAAAGCGGGACTTTATGATTTGAAGTGATTTTATATATAATCACTATTGGTACTATTCAAAATTACTGTTAAAAATTGTCGGAACTTTGCGGATCATATTCGCATTTGGTCTCGAACCCTAGGGGTTTGGCATGTAATTGAAAAAAATATTTTTCCTTGATATTTTTGTGTTCCCATCAAATGTAGACTATTTTTATTTTGTATTTTTTTTCATTCTGCAAATATATTCTAAGACGTTTTAGTTTTTCTGTTTTATGTGATATACAGTTATGTATGTTGTAATTACCACTACCAGCTAAATGTGCTTAAACCTATATTTTGGTCTGAGCTGTTTCCTTCGGAACAAATTATTCCAAATAGGATCCATTTATCCCTTATGAATATTGTAATAAGAGATTATTTTCCGCATGGGAAACGGTTGAAAACTGCAGAATATTTTTCCGCTGAAATTCCGCTGAATTCACAGTGGTTTATTTCTCTCGTCCAGCGATCGCTGTCGGTAGCGAGTAACATAACTGTAACATAGCATAGCCATCGATGATTGGCCTTGTACTGTTGTACCGTATGTCATTACCGCCTTACCGATATGTTAGTACTGTGGTATTGAATTTCTGCCTCATTGTGAAATCCAGTTCAATTAAATTACCAATAATCCTAATTGTCAAGATCTTTTTCTAGCATTGGATGGTCTGCATTAGTACTAAGTTCAGAAGTTAGACGTGGAGGTGGATATATCACGTGAGAACTAGAATATTGTAATAAGCAGATTGATTGAACTAGGCTAATTGTTAAATAAATGATCACAAGTAATCTTGTAATAATCTTGTAATTTGCGACAACAAAAATGGAAAATGGGGATGTTAAAGGACCAACTGTCGCAGAGAATCAAGAAAATATTAAACCAGGAAATGAAATTGACATAAAAGTCACTCCAGTAAGTTATTTTATTATATTCAAAAATGGGAATTTCAAGTTTTTTTGCTTGAATTTTGATGTTTTCAAGAGCATGTTGGTAATGATTTTATTTCTGCATTGAGACGCAGTGCTGTACTGTAATCCTAATATTGTACCTACTATTTTTGCGAGACCACCTATTTATCGTTCGCCTATGGTACTCCCCTGTCTGCCTGGGGACGTATGTGCACCAAGATGGTTCACAACCTGAACCCTAACCTGATACACATACAGACATACTATGTTTAGGATGGGCACCATCTTGGTGCACATTCTTCTGGAGCTCTGCGCTGTGGACTTGTATCCTAAACCAGTGGTTCCCAAACTTTTTTGACAATCGCCCCCCTATACCGGTAGTAGTTTATACAACTTCATCGCCCCCCGGCAATACAAAAAATATAAAGTCAGAAACGAATATATTACAGACCAAATAAGAAGACAAATCATAGTTTATAGTGTTTTTTAATGAGATAGATGAGCTTGGTGTTCTTCAGCGAGTTTTTTATTATATCTAAAATTACCCCGTTTACTGATGGAAAGGTGATTTCGTTGTTTTAATAGCAATAGTAGCACGGCTGAAAACCCCTTTTTCACCATATAATAGGTCGGAAATGAAAGAATCCAGGGTTCTACCTCCTCAAAAACCGCCGTGTACTCTTGCCTTATAGCATTTCACTTCCTAAATTCACCCCATTTCACATTAAAATAATAAAAAAAGTTAATTTTCCCAAACTTATAATAATGATTTTCGTACATCTCATTCATTCGTACAGCCTGATGACCTGCACCAAAATTCTTCGGAAAATTCATCCCCGATTCCTCATCCTACACGGCCTCCAGTCCGATCACCAGTCCATAATTAACCAGCCATTTGTTTTTGGATTCATGGACTCGGATGTGGAAGAAGCCGTGACTGACTATCGGCTACGGCTCGCGGACAAAATTCAGGGTTGCTAGTCTTTTGCGGGTCGCATATATTTTTTGAAAGTTAAAAACGGAACAGCGCGAAAACTGCGACAATTCGTGAACTCAACTCAGTCGTCTTATAAAAAAAATATTACAATGACATTTAATGTGACACTGTCTTGTTGCTGCATCACGCTGGATAGCTTTACGACGCCAAGATTGAAACATTTTCTAAATGGGCATCACCAAACCCACTTCTTTGCTTGTTCTTTGTAATGTTCATTTTCGAAAATAATTGTTTGCACAAATATGTACTTCCAAACATCGAAGTGAATATTTTCGCATGATTTGTGAAATTTTGGATAAATATATTTTTAAGAAGAATACATTCTTACAAAAATTAAGCAGTGATGAATCTCTCGAATAGAATATGAATTTTATTTCTTATTGCTTTGCAATATATTCGAATATTTACTGCGCTATTGAACCCCTGCACTCAGCATCAACTTTTCTTCGTGTTTCCATTTGTCTAATTATAATTAAATTGTAGGCTCGTTAAACGAGTGCTGTTCACTAAATTTTAGGATATAATAATTTAGTCAAACGTGTCTCACGATAAATTCTGTTACGTAAAAAAATGTAATTTACTCCTCGAGCGTAGATTATAAATAAAAAAATTTCATCGTCAAAACCGCCGTTTGGATATTTCCCCGGGCATAGACTTCCTTGTTTACTTCGTGACATTGGCCAATCAGCAAGATGCAAAAAACGTAACAATGCCCCCTTTCGCATCCGCTCAGACACACTCACTCAGACAGATTTTCAGGCGTGGTCGTGAACATTACCTCATTTTCGCGTTTTTGAATTATATTCGTTAGTTTTTAGTTGTTTTTCGGAAATTTAAATATAAATCAAATAAGTCAATGATTACTTTGTCTTTCTATGAGTTTCAGTTTAAATACAGCAATCAAAAATTAGTGTAGAAATAGCTGTGATAGACTAGGCTAAAATTCTTTATCGGTACTTTTAAAAAACAGATTGTTGAATGGTGTGTATTAGAATGATAGTTCGAAACAAATACCCCATTTTACAGGCAACAACTCGCGAAACCACTCTTAAAATAAGCACCGAAAATTTTAAAATGGTAAAGTATGGGAATTTTCCGCAAAGGTCGGGGAAAGGTCCATTCAGTGAATCGTCCCGGGCCAGATTATTTTACTCCGGCCGTATTTTGCCGACCACTGGGATACGCAAACTACCTCCTTACTGCGAAGACGAGACCAGAAATCCTTTCGCGTGTGATCGCCCACGTGATTCAAGCCTGCGAATGCACACAGATTACAGAATTAAGTGCGCCGAACATAAAACAGGTTTCGCGAAATCGCCCCCCTCGACTTTTTCGTCCCACTCTGTATCGTTTTCGCCCACTGGGGGGCGATATCGCCCACTTTGGGAATCGCTGTCCTAAACTACAGAACTACATGGATGCTATAACTTTACAACAAGATTGAAGACAATTTTACTACTTCAGTACTTGTTATGTTTAGGAGTAATCAAAACCTGAAAATCGCCACATGGCATGCATGGTGCAAAGAAGCATTTAACCGACACATGTTATTGAATACTTTGGATTTGATATTCTGAATTGCCCATTCTCATAATTATTCCCAATAATTTTGATAGCATGAATTATTTGGCACATTGTGTTTTGGAAACTAATTTTGATATTGTTGTGCTAAAATACTTTGAATTATTTAGGTCATCAAGCTTGTGCAAGAAGAAGGAAATTTAACTCCTGTCAGTAGTGCAGGAGAAGACGATGATGTAATATATTTTTATATAAGTACCAATGATCATCTATTGTGGTAAAATCCTTACCTAGTGTAAAAATGTTCAAATTTTCCTTTATTTTACATCGAACTATGGATTCTGAAAGTTTTGAAAGCCATTTAAAAGGACTTCCAGAGTTCAAATTCCAAATTGACGAAAATTCTGACTGTAGAGGAAAGAACATTTTGATTCAGATATCCAAACATGATAATGAAACTTTAGCAGTGCAAGCCTTATTTAATATTCTATCGAAAATGCATATATTGGAAGTGAAGTTTTGCCGTTTCTGTCAAAAATGATGACTTCGACTATATTTTGATTAAAAATCGGACTCTGACTCCAGAGATTTCAAAATTGTGTTTCAAAAGATATGTCACATAGCCTTTTACACCCTAGCGTATCTCTTCAAATGTAGTAATGGCTGTTTTCGGCCGTTTTTGTGCCTTATTTGTGGTTATCAAAATTGTATAGTAGGCATAGGCTGTATCAAATTACTGTGACAAAGCATATCAACCCGCTGATCAATATGAGAACAAATATGTTGTTCTTTGATGTAATTTATACGTCTAGTATCTTAATAATAACTGTTCCATTTTCTAATTTTAATTTTTCGGATTACATTTTTTATTTCTATTTTCATTTATGTGTGTTATGACTGATTTACTAAATTTTGTAGTATCAACTTTTATTATTGAGATTGCTTATTGAGAAATTATGCTTAAAACTGTTATGTAAATATGACTAAATTTTTTTCAGTCTCCTGATTTCCAAGATATGTTGAAACAGGACAAAACATGGATTCCACCATCAGAAGAAATTGAAATTAAAATCAGAGATCTTCTAGAACATTATTTTTCTAATGACAATATTTCAAAGGTGTGTTTTTGTTACCTCTAAATAAACCGTCGCCATATGATTTCACAGCCCTGAATTATTGGAACTATAACAAACATTATTTGCATATGTATAACGCTTTACTTTGTAGTTTATCAATATATATTCCTTAATTTTATTAATTAATTTGATGAAGTCTGGATTGTCTTATTTCCAAACCATATTTCAATTCAATGACATTGAAAACAGATGTCTGTAAACTGTTCTGTTTATTGAAGCTATCATCTTTTTTATGATAAATTTAATATTTTAAATTTTGTAATCAAATTTTAATTTATGTCAGATGTCAGAACAAAAATTATCCACATACTTAAGAATTGCCTTTGGGTGTATTTAAGTTCAAGTTTTATCGATGTATATAACAGTGATTGGATGTCAAATTGGCCAATAAATAGGAAATAGCCCTTTAGGCGAATGAACTTAATGACCTTATAACTGACAATCAATAATTTTGGTAGAGGTCATACAAGTTTATTTATGTAACATCTTGTGTAACAGTCTACATAATTTAAACAGGAAAATTCATGATTTTAATTTGAAGTGTATGCAAGTTCATGACTATTGATTGTTATTAGTGGTGCATATGAAATAAATAAGGCAGTCAAGGTTCATTACTAGATTATTATCAATTCATAATTATTTTCAAATAGACCATTTTAGCGATATTGCAAACTGCGCTACTTAATTAATCTATCTTTATTATGGGAAGAAAATTTTTTGGTTTATTAAAATTTGAATCGCTCTCAATGTTCCATTTTTTAAGACTATTTAAATCACGTTGGCTTGGCCACTTGGTATCACCACATGACATAGTCACCCTTGACATAATTTCAAATTCCAATTCCTAAACTGCAACATAATCATTATTTTCTATTAGGGAGGGAAATTATGAAATTGGGGGGGGGGGGAATAATTATGAGAAATTTTCATACAAAATTGTAAACTGAGATCGGAATATGGAATTCCAGTTCAAATTATGAAACAACATTTAATTATAACCACTTATTTAGTCCACAACATGCCATTGTATTACCTACTTTCAATTCGATCAGTTTTAGTTTTACCTGGAATATTTCTGATTTATATTTCAACAGCTGTTGTCATATGGAAGCAGCAAATATCATGTAAACATTAGTGTAATAGTATATTAAATATAAACTGCAACTGAATGATTTAGTATTTCGAATACATTCTAAAACAATCTTTTACATATGAAAGATATGGGTCTGTTCCACAAGAGAAATCATTCAAGACAATTATAAAATTGTAGAAATCAAATTTAGTTTGAAGAATATCCCAATTGAAATAAAAAAAAATTTTTTATTAGGTAGGCTATTTTTTATATTATTCTGTCAGAAGCGACTATTTTTTGTCTATCATAAGATAAATGCTTAAAAAGACATTTTATAATGAAAATATTTCACAAAATCAAGAATTTAATAAATCGACATAACCAATTTCGATTGTATTCAAATGTTTGATTCATTTTAAACATTCCCGAACTGAACATACTAGTTGACCTTAAATAATCATTTGATATTGATCTGGAGCCATTATTGTGTAATATTCCATTTTAAGAATTTGAATCGTAGCACTAATTTATTGAATCATTAGGCTATTCATTCTTTTTACCTAGTATCGGAAGCCTATACTAGCCTATTTCCACTCAAAATTTTGCTGTTTTATTATAAGTCCTGATAATATTTCAATATGACATGGGGAAGGAACACCTAATATGACTTTTAACATTGAACTTCATTTATTTGAGAATTGCTTGCTTGTTTATTAATATGTACATGTACATATTATCATTATGTATTCTAGGATTTCTCTTGAAAAAATTTCTATATTTGAATGGTTTGAATCTAATCTTATTTGACAATTTATCCATTCTTTTTAATAAATAAATATAACTAGCATATATATTTCTATTTTTAGGACAAATTTCTATTGAAACATGTGAAGCGTAACAAGCATGGATACGTTTCTGTCAAACTATTGACAAGTTTTAAAAAAATCAAGAATTTGTCAAAAGATTGGAAAATGACGGCATATTGTGTATTGAAGTCGGATAAACTAGAAATTAATAGAGTGGTGAGTCTGGTTTGATATAGTTTTTTTTCGACAGTGTGGTGCATCATGCACCACTGCCATTCTGATTACCCTACATGGATTCGCAGGTTTAAATCCAGGGGGGGATAATTATGCGCAAAATGGTCCCTGGACTCCTCACCACCGTAGACTGTTTCACCAAACTGCTGCTCGGTTACGGCTTCCCCCACCACTAACTGGTTATCTGATCCCACACTCAACATGGATTGATAACTGGTAAAGATGCTGTGGTTCATCATATGATTAATAAGCCGTCTTGTCAACTTTTCTCCTTCTGGGATAAATATGTAAGTCCTCTCCTCACTTAATCCGACAAGTCACACCTTACCTCAGATCTCTGTGCGAACTAATAAAGTCTGGTATGGTCACTCACAATTGTATTTTACCTCATCGTGACAAACCACAGTCTCTCACCCAGTTTCCAGTTTACGTCGGGATATGGTATATGGATATTGAAACCAGTTACCGTAGTTGGTTTATAGTCATGCACTTGGAATATTTCACGAAATTTAAAAAATTTCTGATTTAATAGTTAAGATTGGAGTTGTGCTTCGTCATTGCTATATATTAGCAACATTAATTAGATATATTTTCAGAAAAACAATTCTGTCATGAAACTGATATAGTTTACCACAAATATATGAAATTGTAGCATAATGTTTTACACAAATGAATGTCTACAACATATTAAATAGTCAAATCGATTCCAAATTATGTTCGAAATAGTCTTGTTTTATTGTTAATTAAAAGCTTTTTCATCTGCTAATTTGTCGTTTTAACAAACATTGTTTATCCAAACGTTACAATTATCCAAACATTACAAATATTGTATGTATGTATGAAAAATAATATAAAGATAGGCTATTCAATATTCATATTTGAAAATACGCTTGTTATTTCAGATGTTTTCGTAATACCGGTAGTAATTTATTTAAATTGGCTATCCTTGAATTTGTTTACATACATAATCATATTTCCATAGGGCTATTAGAAGTAACGAGTATCTTGGGTTGGTTGAAAATTCCATATTAATTAGTGACTGATACAATGACTGAGAATCTATCCTTCATTAGTCAAATGAAAATAGTTTACATATATTATAATAGGGAATTCACCAATATTGAACTGCATGATAGAGAAATCATGTTATAATATTTTTACGATGTAATTGCTCTATCGTGTGTTTCTTTGTGTGAATGAGTTTGTGTGATGTGACGCATGTGATTCAATCTTGCAGTGTTTTTTTTTTTTTTGAGTCAAAACTGAAGTTGGCAATAAATTGATCTCAATGTTCTATCCTTCGATATTGCCATCATGGCATATTTCTGTTTCCAAATAAGTCTGATCCAAGTCTATTGAATGCATTTTGAGTGGAAATACAACTTAATTTAGCGATAATTATTGGACACTGGATGTATAAGGTGTATGGATGTATAAATAAGATCGTTTTGCTGGATTTTCATTTTTTTCAACCAAGCAATTAGAATTTTCATAACTTCAGCCGTTTTGGATTATACTATTGGCCAATTCTATTCTATTATTCTTTATAATCTCAGTAGCTCTTCGCCTTTAACTTTGTTCGTAGATTATTTCTGAGTGAGTGTGCTTGACCTTGCTTTGAGCAAATTTGCTCAAAATATAAATATATTTGTGCTTGCATTTATTTTATTTTCTCAAATTTCATCTGACTACTGTAGGACTCTATATTTCACATAACATTTTGCTGATTTTTTTAATTCATACGAAAACTGTTTTATAACATTATGGTAGCACTATTTACATAACTATTGTGCCACATTTTTTCTTTTTGTGTTAACAACATAAATATTATTGTAACAGGGTACAAAACTTCGAAGAAAAGAACCGTTACCAGAAATCGATCTTCCCACTACATCAATACGAACTATTTTATATAAATTAGGCGATAGTCAAGAAGAACCTTCTGTTGATCAGGTTGGTTTCCTATGATATACAACAGGGTGGTCCGCGAGGTTGAAGGGCCGCAAAAACTTTTGATGAGGTCTAGCGGGCCGCGTTCGTAGAAAACCCAAAATTGATCAAAACATCGCGAGTTTACTCACTTTAAATATACTTAATAATAAGAATGAGACTTTTTTGTTTTAATCATTTTTTAAAGGAAACTATATAAAGCCTTTAGTTATTTTAAAATTCTTTCCCGAGAAATATTGTGGTATTTTCGGTATCATTTCTCGTGTTTGGTTTTGTAATGTCGCTTAAAATTATATTCTTTTGTGGCAAATATTAAATAAAAACACACCAGACACTGTGGTTTAACGTTGTTGTGGGTAAGAAAATTGTTTTCTACGGTCACTTTTTTTTGACACTCAAATTTATCAAAATACAACCGAGTCCGACTAAGTTGGGACCTCGGACCCAGATAGAAAAAAACGCTTTGCGCGGCTCTAAGTCAGCTCTGCGGTTCCTCACTGCTGTCACATGGCAGACGCTTGAAAATAGAGGAGTGTTTTGACTAAAATAAAGACACAAAACTTTTTTTTAAATGATGAGTTACTCGACGCGAGCTCATCTCATCTGCTTGGACCTGTCTACACAAGACAATTCATACTTCTTTTTCCAATCACAAGAAGTCATTCCCATATAGGTACCGTCCTTAGGTTTATGGATACAACAATGAAATTTCGTGATATTAACAAACATCAATCCTGACATTAAGATTAGGGGCCGCAGTTTGGACCACCCTGATATACAATACTAGAATACTAATTTTTTTTAATATAGTTACCTTATGTATAACTTGACAGCGCCAATGTTTTATGTAATGCCTCCAGCATTTTTTCATCTTCTGAGGTCTAGTCAGATTAGATTGATTCACCATATACAACTTCAATTTGTATATTCAAGTGTTTGACTTTAATCATAATTATTCTCTTCCTATACATGTTTTCACATAATATTCTGCTGGAGCTGTCGTTGTTGCTAAAAATCACTTTTCTCTTCAACCACCGGCCCCTCTTAATTTTAAATTTGTAATGGTTACTTCTGGCAAGGCAGAAGAACTTGAAGACGTTGATCGCAAACCAATAATTGGATCTGTCAATTTAGCCCCCCATTAGATGAACCATCATTAGTTTTATTTAATCAATTTCTGTAGGAATTTTTATCTCATGTAATAAATTGTAAGATAGGGATCAATTCTCATTCTGGAGTTGATTGGATTATCTGTCCTGTTTGATCTTAAGAGGATTGCTTTCATTATTTTGGTATAATCCTCAATAATCTATGCTATTTTAATTAATTGATTGCACAAGATTATTATCTGCAATGAATTGTTAATAAAGCATTGATATTTTGTGCCATTCTTCCTGATTATGAATTATTATTCTATGTGCTCGAAGATTGTTGAAACCACTAGCTAATACTTCCACGGGAATTTTTATGGAGGAAAATTCCATTTTTTTAGCTTAATTCATTAGGATTTTGTTTGCATGACATGAAGGAAAAGACTTTTATTTGACTTTTGACCTCTGTATTCATATATTGATCATCATTGCATTGTATTATACCACAATATTATTTGGAAAAAAATTTGCTATTATTGGCATTTTACATAATATGTAGATAACTATATATTAACATTTTTATAGGTTTCTGAAAAATTTCGTGAATTTGGTCAACTAACAACAATACGTATTATAAGGCCTTCTATGGAAGTTCCTGCTGATCTACGTAATCACATGACAAAACATCCTGAACTAGGACAGAGTCTGTGTGTTGTTATTGAATTTGAAACAACAGATGGAGCTCATGTAAGAATTTTTGTCAAATTCTCCTCTAAATTGTTTTTACTCCTTTTTCAATAATGTGCATCTTGCTATCTGTGCAATACAATGTTTATGATTAAATGATATAACTTCAGTTAGGAGTAAGCGATAAATTGTTTTTCCTATTCATAAAAAAAAATTCATAGCCTCCATAGGTAACGGCCTATGCTTAGTTTTTTTGTTAATGTTTTGTCTATGATGGTTAAATTGCTGCTTTGTAGCAGTTACAAAACTTGAGAATTATCAAAATCATCAGTTTGAATGGTTTTTCCATTTTTGTTCCAGTTGCATTGCAAAACATTGCTTTCATTGTGCAAATGAAGGTTATTTTTTATGTTTCATTCGTTTTAATAATTTTCCACTTAGTGAGATCTGAGGTGCAATAAAATTAGGGGATCACTGACATGAAAACAAAGTATTAAAAAATATTCATTACTTTTGCTAATGCAGTCGCTCGCTATATCTTTTTCCTAGGCATTAGTACTAAAATATGTAAATTGAGCCTAAGGGCATATGATTTCTCAATGTTCTATTGAGAGAATGCCGATTGACACGTGCTGTTGGTTAAACTTGTTTTTATGCATTTTGTGATGCAATGGTTTCATCATATGTGGTGTGATAATTATTAAGATGGATATTTCATATGCTCATGCTAATAACTAAAATTTCAGTATGAGTTTCATATGTTTTAGGTCTATTTATCAACTTGATTCCCGGATTCACCTGTACATTGAAAATATTTTAGACTAATGTAAAATACTTTGGACTCGGCGGTGTAGCGCATCGTGCTAAAATTTGTCCTATTTGACTTCTTAAAACTAGAACATAGAAAATCTAATAAAACGATGTTTATATCGATTTTTTGGTTTGAGATTTTAATTTTCTGAATTTGTAATTATTCAAATTTCTTCTTTAAAAATGACTTAATGACCCAATTCAGAATTCAAAATATATTCGAAATTTTTTATTCAAATGTATGTGTAATAGACTGTTCAGTTTTGGGGGAATTTTGAGAAATTTCCTATTCCATATAAGGTAATTATTTGAATTTTTTTCAGAATGCTTATAAAACACTTTCAAAAGTTGCAAGGGAAGAAGAAAAAACAGAATCCTATAGCCTTCTAGGATCAGGTAGAAATCCTCGGAAAACTGGTGGAAGAAATAGAGACATATATGATAGTAATGATGAATCTCCATACACAAGGTAAAGTACTAATTGTCTACCATATGTACTTAAAACAATACTCTTGAAAAGCAGACTTTCATGTGTACAAGATGAGCCAACTACTACATTGGACTATTCTTTTTTGCTAAAAATTTTCATTTATATATTAAAATGTAGGAGAAAAATCATTTCAACATAGGCGAATTCATCTTATAAAATACGAGTGTGTATGATTTTTCTGACAGTTTCATTGAATTTTCCTAAATTAAACATGGTTACAAGTTGAAAAGATAAAAATTTGAACTTGGAACCAGTAATGCTGAAGTGATGAAATGTGCCATTCGTCAAGCCTTCCTTAGAAATACTTTGCCAATCAATTGAATTGTAATTTAATTATTTCAAAATCTTTCAAATAATTTTTTTAACAGTTCAAGGGAAAACAGTCCTCTAATGCCACGTAGGAAGTTTGTTACCGGGAAGAACGGATGGCAGACTAATACAAGATATAGCGTATCTCCTCTAGCTAGTCCTCAAGGAAGCAGAGATACCAGTCCCACCAGGAGTAATTCGGGTAGGCATATGCGTAATAAGACCTTTATTATTGGACTTGAGCGTAATAAAATAAATCGATTGATCATATTAAGAATTGTGTTGCAGTTTATTTATTATTTTCAGATATTGTTACTAACTAGGACATTGTCTCATTCAATTTGAAGTTTTTTTTCAGAGCAATGGATGTTCTCCCGACCTTTGAACCCCGAATATTATTCCTATACTCTAGCATTGCAAAATTTTTGGTTTATTTTTAGTGTGGTTTCACCTATAAACTGGTTCATAATATGTATCAAACTATCATTATGGTTCTAAACATTAACAAGCTGTCACTTGAAAGTACTGATATAAAAGTTCAGCCTAATCTATCACAACCAGTTCTAGGCTAAATTTGGAAAACTACAATTAAACTAAAACTCTTCTAAGAAGACAAAATGATCATTGAGTTATTTGATCCATATTCAATTTTCCGAAACACAACTAAAAACTAACAAATAGCTAATGTTACGCAAGTAAACAAGGAAGTCGATGCTTTTGGAAACATCCATTGATAACAGTAGCGACCAATCGAAATAATGGTTTTCTTAACTCCATTGTATGGCAAATTCGGTCTTAGGATAAAATTTATTACTTGCTCTTCAGTCTTCACCCAATTAAGCAAACAGTTATTTTTCATGTTAAATTTTTGGGCGCTCCAGAAGTGTGTGTACCAATATGGAAACCAATTTTGTTCGTCTATCTTACATCAAGTTGTGTTAAGGGTCTGAAGCCTATGAGCAGGGAGTATATTCACTTGGCTAACACAGACAATTCCCGAAAAATAGAACTAAAATAAGGTAGATCGGAATAAAATTATGGCCTAACCCTAACCTGATACACACACTACGGAAGTACCAATTTTTTTAATTATATTTCAGAATGTATTTGTATGTTAAATTATCGGGCTTTATGCTTTCATAATATTTTTGTTATTCTAAATTATGTAACTACTAAATTTACTATTTATAAATCATTTATTTTTTTGAATGGGGCAACCATGCTTAAAAGTTATTTTGAGTAAGATCGCTCACATAATTGAATATAATAAGATGTAGAATCTTAAATAAATAAAAATATTTTTTTTTTATAAAATTTGATGTTATAAATGAATTTAAGTGTCAGGTTTTAATTTTTGATGAGGTGTTAAAAAAAATCTTCAACAGTGGACGGATAGTTGGTTATAAATTTGGTCACTCCAAAAGTGTGTGTTCCAATATGAAGATAACTAATTTTGTTCGCCTACTTCACATCAAGTTGTGTGAAGAGACTGAAACCTATGGGCAGGGGGTATATTCACTTGACTAACACAGACAGTCCCCCAACTCGTAATAGAAGTAAAATAAGGTAAAAGGGAATTATGCCCTATTTATTTTCTTGAATGGGGCAATCATGCTTGAAAGTTATTCTGAGTAAGATCGCTCACATAATTGAATATAATAAGATGTAGAATCTTAATAAATAAAAATATTTTTTTTTATAAAATTTGGTGTTATAAACGAATTTAAGTATCACGTTTTAATTTTCGATGAAGCAGTGTTAAAAAAAATCTTCCACAGTGGACGGATAGTTGGTTATAAATTTGGTCACTCCAGAAGTGTGTGTTCCAATATGAAGATAACTAATTTTGTTCGCCTACTTCACATCAAGTTGTGTAAAGAGACTGAAACCTATGGGCAGGGGGTATATTCACTTGACTAACACAGACAGTCCCCGAACTCGTAATAGAAGTAAAATAAGGTAAAAAGGAATAAAATTATGCCCTAACTAACCCTAATCTGGTATACACACTACGGGAATACCAAATGTGTATGTACAATGTACCCATTTTTATCAGTTAAACCTGGGGCAATACTGTCGCTTATATTTCAGGTATGATTCGTTATTACTGTCAATATTTTGATGAAACAATCATCCAGGCCCTTAGTACTCAATGACTAATATCCTGTGTATAGTATCATCTTGCTATCAACATCCTTTGCTTTGTCCATATGCCGGCATGTTCTATACTTATGTGATGTGAAGTTTTAATGTTGTAGAAACTGAAAAGTTGGATTTTGAATGATATAAATTGGCCTTATTAGATGGACAATAATTATACTTGTGGAAATTTTGTACCAACTATACAAATTTTATGTTGTTTAGAGATAACAGTTCATTGCTATTATTAGGACTATATCGATCTGTATTTATATTTTTCCTTGAAACCAAACAGGATTTTTGCAGCGTTGTAAATCTTTCTTAGCTTTCATTTTAACCCTTCAATTATTTAGTTGAGGATTCAAAAAAGCGCTGTGCCCATTAAATAACTTATTGCACATACTGGATTGGTATTGTTGAACGTTTTTTCATATTTTCAAGGTGTACAGGTTACTCACCATCTTCTACAAAATATTCTCAGTCGAATTATATATGTTTATACTTATTTCCAGATCGGAGTCCTCGTGGAAGCCCCAGAATGCAAAGAAAAAATTTAGGAGGACAAGCCAGTATTCCACCTCCTTCTGGTAAAAAAAATATTCTCATTTGAAGTAGGGTTTTGTACATTTATACTGGGCGAGAGAAGAGTCGATAAAATTACTTTGTGTAAATATCCCGGTGGAGAGGAAAGTGGATAATTTGAATTGATATTACAGCGAACCATGGATTCTCGTCCAGTTACAAGTTCATGTCAGTTATGTAGATAGTTAGCCAGTTATTTGTTTCAGGTGCATGGTATGGTGGACCACACCCTTTTAGCATTTTCACTAGTATAGACCGAATGTAGGATGAACTTATCAGTCAATTGTGCATGCATGGACTTGGTTAGAAGTAGGGCTAGCCAACCATCAGCTTTGTACATCGCCCTGCAATGGCAGTTTTCTCACATATCAAATTCCCGTGTGTAACCGATACTTAATTATCCTTGAGCTCTTGAGCCTAACTCTCTATATAGTTTGTACCGTACGCTATGAGACTTTCTGCTGCAAAAATGGTCGTCATTGTTCAGTTGTTAATAATAATACCTAATTTCTTTTTTTCAGGTTCTTGGAGGACAGGATTAAGGGACAGTACTCCTGAAACTAGTCCACGAGGAAGTCCTAAAGGAAGTCCAATGTCATCAAGAAAACATATTTCACAGCAAAAGAAATCACCACTCGCTATTCCTAACAATGTTGTGAGATGAGCTTAAAATTTCTGAGTAGCAGCTAGCTTTCATCTCTACACAGCGTTCCTTTCCATTTCAATAAAATTGCCACTTTGGCCTATATATACCAATTTCGGTACTCCCTAATGTGTGTACCAGGTTAGGGTTAGGCCATAATTTTTTTCCAATTTTCCTTATTTTAGTTCTATTACGAGTTCGGGGACTTTTGCCTTAGCCAATTGAATATATACCCCCTGACCATAGGTTTCATTCCCTTTACTCAACTTGATGTAAAGTAGGCGAACAAAATTTGTTTTCTCCATATTGATATTTAATACACATACTTCTGGAGTGCCTCGGTTTCTCTGTTTCGGGCATCCAGTTTTTAATCAGTGGTTACTTATGCGGTTTTTTCTCACATGATTAATATTCTTATCTGCACAGGAGTGTTATTGACAATTTTGAATTCTTTGTTTCTTTACAGACAACTCCTGACTCAGCAGGATCAAACAATAGTACACCATCTGGTAGTCCATGGTTACAAAGAAAAAGGATGCTCGCTGCTAGTCAAGGTTAGAAACCTTCACATTAATTGGGAAAACTTTCGAGTTGTCACATATGTGTGCTAAAACAATGCCTATTTCCTCTACCTTTGAACACAGAAACATTCTTCCTATGCTTTACCACTGCAATATTTTTTCTGCGTTTATTTTGATTGTATTTTCACGCGTTATACCATATAACTTTAGAATGTTTTGTAAGAGTAAATAATTAATCCTGGCTTTGCTTTGTTTTCGATCCTGCAATTTTTAATATATTCGTTATTCTATCTTTAAAGGTATTTGAGAATCTGTCATAAGAGTGAATTGATTAGTTTTAGTCATTCGTAATCCTATGACCAAATCTAACTTTATAGTTTTTCTTCTTTCAGCTGCTAACTCACCCAGCGGTAGTCCAGGCACGAGTCCCGTCTTGGGTAGAAAATTTCAAGACGGAGTTCCAGAAGGAGTTCTGCGACTTCCAAAAGGACCTCCTAGTATTAATGCGAAGGGTTTTGACAGTGCATGGAAACGTAGAGTTAAAACTACGTCAGTGGTAAAATCTCTCAACGACAAGCCCTCGCCTTTAGTCTCGAATGCATAGTACACAAAAAGATCGCAAGAGGCTCGAAAAAATGAAACATTGTCAGAACTGTCAACAAAAAATTTCAATTTGCAATCAGATTATTTTTTTTCTTAATGGAAAACAGACAAAGATATTTTGTGTCTGGTACTGTGTTGCACGTAGTACAAAGTTTTTGGTTTGGTTATTTTTTCTTTTTATCTCTTTTGGTTTGAATTGTATTGCGCAATTCTATAATAGTTTTGATTGGTATATGTAGGGTGTTCGGGAAATCTGTTGAAAATGAAATTTTATTGAAAAACGATGGCTTTTTAGAATTGTATTACTGAAATCACTACCATTTAATATCGATCATGGTTTATTATGAAATATTGTATATGCCATAATTATGCTATTTTTAGTATCAAGTATCTAGCAAATAGTGGAAGTGTTTTGAAAATATTCTAATTCGATTTTTACGCTATCCCTATCTGCGAGTTATGATCATCTTTAGCCTGCGCTCTTATATTTTCTATTTTATTTTTTGTGTCTGTTCCTAAACTCGATACTTTGCCAACAAGAATCTACCTGTGCGAAAAATTCATGATTCAAGGTATATTGTTGGAATAATTTTTAGATCTTCGGTTCAGCAATCTGTACAATGTCCTGCTTCAGCACGAGAAGTGATTCTCTCATGTCTATATGTTTTTGTGCCACTTGCTACCATATTTCCAACCAACTTCAAGTGTTGAAATATATACAAGACTTTGCAGGAATGTCTGAAACAAACTGGGTACACGGATACTATACTAACCTGATATACTTTTGTTTTTACTGATTTAGTAATAATCTTCTTGTGAAGTTTTTTTAATCAAGTAAGCTGAGAAACTGGAACCTTATATACATACTTACTGCTCTAATACTCTTTGCTTCATGTAAACAGTTGATCCTAAACATGTGGAGTCTGGGAAAGTCTACATTAGATTTCGGACTCCAACGCCGCGGGTTAAATTTAGACTCACCAAACACTAAACCATTTCAAGAAAACAGAACATTGATAACAAAAACTTTGGTTTATACATGATTTTCAATTATCTTTTAAAAATGCAAGGAAAAATCATGCTTTGCTGCTAAAAATTTTGACTTAGATCATTAAAAATCTGACTTCTGGCTACAACTCGAGGATTCAAAATTTGGACTCCCGAATTAGAAATTTAACTCAATCTCCGCCTCCAGTTTGAATGAAATCATGCAAAACTCCAGAATCTGATTCTACAGCCCTGGTTGATCTATCTTTTTTATTCAAGTATTTTTGTCGGTTTTGTCTTTGATTCAATTCAGGACATTACTACTTGTTTTTTTCAGTTTTTGCCATCCCTGGCATGAGTTTTCAACTTGCTTGGTAAACAATTATGAATTTGTTAATACTGCGTAATCGTTAAAACAATTGATCAAATTTTGAAATCTAACTAAATCAAATCATTGCTAATACGAAAAAATAGCGATATTTTGCAATTTTTGAAACTTCTAAAACTGCCAGTTTCTTACTATTGTGTTGTGATAATGTTAAATATGCAAGTTCTATCTACAATTTGTAACCAATAGAAAAGGATAAAAAATGTTCTGTTAGTTATGATATGCCTGAGTGTCAACTCTAAGTGGTGTTGCTTTTAGTTTTGGTGTGATATTTTGTGTGAGAATAAGCTAAGGTGTTCAGATAGCATTGTGAGTAGGGCTGTTATAGTTTGGTGCCTGCTTCTTCGTGGCATGTCTGTACCTAAAAACTGGACTATCTTTTTTTACAAGCATGTTAAACACTTTGTTCAGTTTTCAAATGAAATTGATTTAGTCTAGTATACTACAAGATAAACTTTTCTCATATCAAACCTGGAATGGTAACTAGGCGAGAAGTCGTTGCTCACCATGTGTTAAGTCATCCTACCAACTTTCATATCTTGATATAAATACAAAAATCCTGTCTTATCCTACTATTTGAGTAGTTATGTTATACCTTTTTCTTGTCACAGTTAATCAGACATTATTTTTTTAAACTTTAAACTCAATGGTTTTATTTTTCAAATTGGTGAATATATAGTGCAAATAAATATTAGCAGTTATGGCCTTGAACACCATGAATTTCTATCGGGCCAAATTTTTGTTCCATATTCTAAATGAAATATAATTATCATATTCTTAAGTCATATTGACGATAACTTTGAAATGTGAGGGTTTTTCTGTTTATAATAGATATTTAGATATTGTTATATAAATTACTCTCTTTTTGGTGGTTTGCTAGAACTATGTAAAAATTTAGCATAATATTTGTACATTGTGTTGCGTATTGTGATATTTCAAACTCAATTGCGTATTGTGATATTTCAAACTCAATAGATGATTGCTATAATTAATAGGGATGCGACGAATCCAAAAAGGTTCGGCTCGGCCGAATCCCGAGTATTTGTGCTGGACTCGTGTCCGAGTCCCGAGTCCAATACTTTTACATAGCTACGAAACAAATACCTGAAGTGATGCTGTTGTTCTCGTATATTGGCCGTAAATTAAACATTCTGTATGAAAAGACTATGTAATTTAAAAACGTTGCACATAAACACTATTGCTTTCGAGACAATCATTCTCTGAGCGACTAGTTTAAATTAGAATAAATGGGTCATATTCCCCGTCGAAGGAATACTTTGTTACGTAACTCTGATCGACCGCCGCGTCGACTGCTGAAGACGCCGCGCTCGTGTCCTGTCACGATAAATACGGGCCATAACCCACACGTTTGGAACAAATTTTTTATGGGAAATTTTTACTCATATGTTATCTTTTTTAGTCGGCGCTGATACAGGCGCCCATCTCCGTGATAATTGAGATATTAATAAAGAATTGCCAACTGTGGAAGCATCGAATAAATGTATCTTATAAATATATCGTAACAAAATAGCTAGCTATTCCTCGTTTGAAAACCATCAATAGCTATTGTCGAATCCGCGGAAAATAAGAATGTGTAATTGTTGATTTTGATTCAATAAGAGAGACGCAAAAGGCGAAATGTGTTATATGCTAAGTTACGGCTGTATGACACAATCATTTTCATTAATACAAATAACGGCGCTTTGAAAAGCAAAATCAAATTTATTAACATTAATTTAGAAGTGAGAGTTACGAGTAAGAATTCACATACGACTCTCGCTAACAGACAGAAACGATAAATGTGAGAATTATTATGGTTTTCTTTCTGCGCCTATCGTTATCTTAACAATTCCCAATTTTGCATAAAGCGCGCCAACACCTTTTTACATATAGAAACGTCAAACCAGATTAAGCGAGGCAGGTAAATTATGTATTATATGGAAATATTGTTTCGACTAGGTAGAAATGCCATAACTCGAAACAGCACGCAAAGGTAAATTTCCGGAGTTTTTATTTATTATCTAATATTAAAATAACACAGCCACGATAGGTATTGTTCGCTTAAAATAGGGACCGTAATTTACAAACTGTGATATGGAAGGTCAAATCCAGAAGATGAGGCCAGAATAAAATTAATATATTTATGAATTCACTAATTAATAGCCGTCTTTAATATCTTCACCGATTTGTACTCGCACTTTTGCCTGAAATATAAAAACGAAACTTCGATGTCCGGCGTTGCGTGAGAACTGATAGTGAAAAAGGGTGCTTTAAAAATATAGTTTACCAACCATAATTAGGATGTCGGTCGCCGAAACGATCGCGGTGACAAAAAAACAATTCACGATTGTGATAAAATTACGGATAAGAAGTAAAGACGCCGCGTTGTTATCGAGTCTCCAGTCTTCTAGTAATTTTCTACTATCGGTAAATTAAAAGAAATAGGGTAGTCGAATTATTCGATTAGGAAAAATTCGATTTTGCCCGTCACTAATCGCGGTGTATGTAAATAATTATTGAATAAAAATAAAAAGTCGGCCCGATTAACATCCAATTACCACGAGTAATAGTTTCCAAATTTATGCACATTTAATCGATGCGACTTGCGAGATTGTTTTTGTACATATATACGATTGTAACGCCACTGACATCTGCGAGTTGTACTTTTCTCTTAAAAGAACCGTAATTTTCACTATTTTATCGTTTTATTTCTAACATTTGTTTTCTCCGGAAATAGCTAGATCATTTATGGAACGATAAAAGGCGAACAGCGCGACATGGTTACCGCTGATTACGGATTAATCACTGTTAGAGGATTAGCAAGTATATGCTTGAAATAGGACGTGGTAAACATTCACTAAACGACGTCTGGCACTGGAAGGCAAGCTACACACGCAACACTGGAATGTATTCAGCTGACTTTCGCTGACATTTTTTTTGTTCTTACGGCGTCGTGAATTTGTAGTTTTGGCGCCTAGTTTTAATTTCACCGTAGAGAAAATAGACTGGACAGTCTCGTGGCAAAACAGAACGAAAAAGTTGAATTTCTCGTCGAATCCGCCACCAGTCTGCGCTTGACTATCGCGTGACGTATGATATCCCGGACTCGGGGTAAAATCATCAAAGACTCGGGCCGAATCCGAGTATCAAATTACGAGAGATTCGGCCACGAATCCGAGCACGAGTCCGAATCTTGTCGCATCCCTAATAATTAATCAGATGTTGGTGAATTTTTTTTTTTTATATAAATTGTAGAGATATATTTGAAAATTCAACAACTACAAATTGTATTGTTTTCCAATTAGAGTTTTGTTATGTGGAGCCACGAGTGTCACACAATTGTTGTACCATTGTTACCATTGTACTAATTTCGGTTGAATATCATTTTTGCTTATTCTAGTATTTAGCATACACAAGCAGATATTCTTCACAGTTTCTGCTTTTGTTTTAAATCATGTGATAACTTGTTTATTTTTATTTAGTTTGTTATTATTTTTTGACAAATATGGAGTTGTAATTAAAACTTCAGGATGTGGAAGTGGATGCCAAAATGGATATTTTAGTTCTTTAGTTTACTCATTCCGATGTAGACTTGTTAGCCGGAGGGATTTAGAGTTGTTTTTTGGTGAATTTATGCATTTTCTGTACATCGTATTTTTCTTGCGGTCTGTCTTCGAATAAAATGGCATTTATGGAATGTTAGAGTTATTTTTGCCATTTTTCTATTTTTTTCACATTAAGTTCATCAGCTCAAGGGCGGGGCGCATCCGGCTAAGGGTAAGCGTTAGAAATACACCCACCACCGCACCTCTAATTACCCTGCTGGCTTCGCAGGTTCGATTCGATAAATATGCCGCTGGACTCCTCGACGCCACAGGGTAATTCCCGTAGCTGTTTACCAGTTACGGCTTCCTCTACCATCAAGTCCATGCATCTAAATAAAAATAACTAGCTAACTAAGCCCATACCCGACAAGCCGTCTTATCGGCATTCCTTATCCCGGCATAAATATGTAAATCCTATCCTAAGTGCCAAAAGACTTTATGGATAGGATTATGATTGTGGGATCAATTTCGTTCGATCGTCCGGTATGAATGGAGTAGCCTAAACAGTGATGCGGTGGCGCAGAAATCATATTGAAATCTTTTGATAGAAATAGTCCAAAGCAATATGTTTATTTCGAGAACATCATAATCGAATTTGCCAACAATAGAACAAATCCAGATCATAAATTTGGAACAGCAAATGAAACCTATGTAAAGTGAAACATTTGAATAAAATGATTTTACAAGAGAAAAATGCATGTTCGCTTAGCAAAAATATATGGAATTGTTTAAACCGTACAAACTATCACACACGTACAAGCCAATAGATAACATAAAGAGGATTGAAAAACATCAAGAAAATATAATTTGCCATACCATACTAATCATTTTGAAAGAATTGCCAAAATTTAATACAGGTTTCACATTTCCGAATTAATAAACGTGAGATGAAACGTGAAAAAAATTGTAAATTTGTATATATCGCTAAGATGAGTATTGTCGACGTCAATTGATACCGAAATGCCCGTATTTCGTGAGCAAAAAACTATGTTACGTTGGGCATTCATCGTATTTTAAATATTAGACATGTCTTACAACGCGCGGAGTGTGGCACGCCTGAACTAAATGATCTCCAATATATATCCAATTTTATAACCTCGCTTTTTCGCAAAGCACGTACCATCGATGGTAACATGGAACGTCATTAATTTGCCACCCCCGCGCTCTATCCATCGCCGCACAATCCTCCACGCCATGATAGTTGTTTGGTTCCCTGCCTATCCAATTGGTATTAGAACGAGTTGATGGCGTTCCATCGGCCCATACCCAGTGGCCTTCCTTTGCAATGTCTGTCAAGCCTGCCCACACGTGATTGTTGCTTCCTTGTAATAATTTTAATGTTATTTCACTGAAAAAATAAGGAATGTTGTATTTATATATTATATATATTAAAAAGTATATATCGATTTCAAAATAGTATAATCAATGATTGAATAACCACTAATCATCACACGTCACGAGGTTTTCAATTCTAATCAGTTTTTCTTTACACCATCCTGAAATTACATTTGTGTGCGAACAGTGTGAAAAGGCATTTCAGGGCAAGTGGAAGCGCAAAAAACAAAACATTACTGGTTATCAAGCAGGGGCAAACGTAACTTAATAGATAATGAATAGGTGCGTTGATATTGCTGAAATATTACTGCATACATCGAGAAGGATTACCTGGATACTCAAAATGGACTGATACCGTGTGATAATTCGCCTTTTATTCAAGTCTTTTTATCTCCGATCCATTTTTTTGGTGCACAGACAGAATGAATTAGTTCGCCTAATTCATTGTAGGTAACCAGAAGGACGTCTTATGTATATATTTCATAGTCCATAACAGGCCTGTCTGGCTACTGAAATAATGTTTATTCTACATAGTACTTACTTTCGTATTCCTGCATCTCTCAATCCCGCAGATGCGGTTATGGCACCCAAGCTCTCACATTTCTTTACCGCGTCTTGATATTGTACTTGAGTGTACAGGAGCCTGTACATCTTATTGTTTGCTGCAATATACCATCCAACTTCTGATGCTTGAGCTCTTTGCTTCTCTTTTATTACTCGGGCGGTTTCTATCTAAACGTGAAACATACTGATGACGCTGCATAAAAACTCAGAACATCTGCAATCCTCGTTATATTTTCAATGAAAATATTCGGCTAGCCACGGTTGACTCCCTCAGGAACAGGACGTTTTCATTTTGGTCAACTCCACCTTTTATTATCTAAAGCAACAGCCAATATTTGCATTCTTCTTGCGCAGATGTGGGCAAAGATTTTGCGTTGAGGGGTGATTTAGCGAAAATTAATTATTCGTTTCAAAAGACCATATCATATAGTTACGTTTTATTAAATACGAGAGTGTCGAATTTAAAGGTAGCCGACATTATAACATGAAAAAACATACAGCATCAGCTAGTTTGGAATCGATAGTGTTGACATTTTGCTGAATTGTAAATATTTTCGCCTCTAGTTGACTCTTCAGTAATGCAATGCTTGTATTCAGTTGAAGAATATCTAAAAAAAAATTCAACATTTAGTAGATACAATTTGAAACGTTGATCTTCGAATGAAAATGAATGCCATATACCATCCATGAATTTGTTTTCCTTTCTTTCTGTTGTAGATTCCATTTCTTTGACGGCATTTTCCAGATTTTGCCGCAAATCACTTAATCCCGATTTCACTTTTTGCATCCTAATATTTGTTTCCGTTTGGGCAACTATATAATTTAAAACAAAAATTATATTTTTCTTCAATGATTAGCTGTAAATTCAAAAAACCATGTTTTACCTTCCATCGGTAGTACCGTCCAAATGTCAAGAATTGCCAACGTTACCAGACTTGCAGAGATTATTAGCACAGTAATATATGATACGTTCCGTTGAATCTCTGAAGATAAGTAAAGTTGGAATAACTTGCACTATTAAAGTTTTCTGGAATTATTGACACGACTGAAATTACGATTTCAAATGGAATCGGTATTAGTTCACGCTTCAGGCATAAAGTTATCAGTAGAATTCAGCTGCAATAATTCTGTGGCAAAGCGATGGTGAAATTATAGAAGAATATAATATTGCAGCCAACTTCAGTAGACAGTTTTTACACTTTCGATTACCGAATTTTACGGACAATAAAACACTTTTAAAATTCATTTTTTCGCACAAATCAATCGTGTGTCTTGTAAAGCTAATGTATATAGATCAGAGAATCGGTACGCGGCGCGGATGCGTGGCTCAACGGGCTAAGCGTTAGGAATACACTCGCCACCGCACCTCTAATTACTCTGCGTGGGTTCGCAGGTTCGAATCCCATGCAGGGATGGTTATGTGCGAGAGATTGCTGGACTCCTCGCCGTCGTTGGGTAGTTCACGTAACCGCTGGTCGGTTACGGCTTCCTCCACCACCATGCTCCCGAAAACAAACAATATAACTAATCCCATACCCGACTTGGAATGGTATCCGGACGAGAGGCCGTGGTTCGCCATATGGATAAGCCGTCTTATCGGCTTTCCTCTCCACCGGGATAAATATGTAAATCCTATCCTACTATTGTTTCATATACAGATCGCCGTCTTACGTAATAAACTAGGTTTCACCTAATGGGCCGACGCGCCTTATGTACATATAGAAAATAAGAAACCTCAATTTGAACAATTTATCGACAATTCGACTCATGCTCCGTTAATACGGTTGGAATTTTTCGATTAAAGACGCTTCAGCTTACTACGCTTAGCTTCGCATAATTGATCTATCAATCACAGCATGTGAATTATGCGAAACATACATATACTAAAGGACGAACAACGTTCAGGTACCACTGAAACAGAAACGATTTTTATGCATAGTTTACATTAGAACAGGGATGGCGAACCACTGACCCGCGGGTCACAAAGTGACCCACCGCGTTTTATTCGTGACCCGCCAAGGCACGAATAAAATAATAAAAAAAAATGCTAACATATCAGTGATAAAAATTGATATAACCGGCCGTAAATTAATTTAACAATACCTAAACTATTATAATCTACCGTCAATTCGGCAGTCAGGGCCGCGAGAGCTCATATTCAAATTGTTAATTTCGGGCCGGTATGGTAATTTTCAAAACCCCTAATCTTGGACGCATGTCTGCACCGCTGTGAACCATTATTCAGCTATTGGCTCTGACATCGTTTATGACATAACAATGCAACTGATACGTTCATTTGTCGCTAAGTCTGGTCTCTTTCGGAGTTTATCTGCAGACTGTTTAGGGGTTTTGCGAGAACTACATGCTACTTTGTATTTTATTAGTTCCTCGCCCACAATACCGTTAGGAGAACAAAATCTCTCAGACTTGAAATAAAAGCCTAGAAATCTGAAATAACAATGGGGCAGTGTAAAAGTGCCTTAATGAGGTTGAAAGTTGATCGAAAAATAGAACAATGGGGCAGTGTAAAAGTGCCTTAATGAGGTTGAAAGTTGATCGAAAAATAGAACACTGTCAGGGTGGGATTCCCTCCAAACATAGGCGTAGCCAGGCCCCACCCCCCCAAAAAAATGTTCGAGAATTCGATTCTTACTCCACCAGTTTTGTGGCAATCTTGTCTCGTCACGCTTATTGTCATTGTTACGTCACAAAGACTTGACCGTTCGCTGTTATGAGCAGTTTGGGAAAGACTGTTTCGTTAGCTTTCGGTCAGTTACTCGGTCTTGATTTGTTCTCGCTGGTTTTATATTCGAAACGCTTTGATTTTGATGACCAAATTACTTCGATGGCTAAATTAAAACAAACGAAATGCGATAGTTATTTTCAGCGAAATAAAGAGTCGCTTTCCTCAAAAACATCAATAAGCGCTACTCAGGCTGTGGATGCACCGGTTACGTCAGTCACTTCTATTCCCGAAGATAAACTAATATTCAAAAAAGGGAAAACAAACGATCTTGGATTTATTCTTAAGAAACATACGCAGCTTACCGATGCGGAGAGATACAGGCTTCTAACTTCGGATGGTCCGAAAAACGTGACGATCCTGGATACCGTTAGACAAAGTCGTCGAAAATTTCTCAAAAAATGGCTTGACGATGACAGGTTTTGCAGTTGGTTAGTTTGCACCCAACTCTCTGATGGGGGTGGATCTTGTATTCACAAAAAGCCAGCTGAGTTGTTGAACCAGTTATTGATAAACTGTTGTTGTTTCGCGCTTGAAGAAGGAGTGTCTTAAACCCAATATAATTTCTAAAATTTTCAAATTTGGCCCCACCAAAATTTTGGGCTGGCTACGCCACTGCCTCCAAACTCTTTGAAACCGTAAAATAATTTACCGCATCATCCTAAACGTTTTTGGTAATTCATATGCGTGTTTTCGTACTCTAATTTCATAAAATCGAGAGCCATAAAAAGTCCCTGATAGAAGTGATGCATAAGTAAAGCCTGAAACTACACCAACAGAAGCCTAAAAGATTTGTTTCAGAAGTTTCCTATAGATACAAACATTGATCATATATCTGTGACCCACTCTCTTCTGTTCCGCGATAAAAATATAATTTTTGACCCATTCATTGAAAAAGGTTCGCCATCCCTGCATTAGAAGGACCCATTTGCCCACTCCAGGAATAGGGTAATCATGAAGGCAAATACATATTACATAAGAATAAATTGAACCTTCAACTATATCTCTGCGAAAATCTTCTCTCGTGTTCTTCATTTTCTCTGACACAACATATTTGACAGTTCTCATAATTTTGTCAAGATTTTCAACTTTGTCTCCAATTTTGTTGATTTTGTCCAAAGAGACTGAAAACAAAGGTAAAACGATTGGATCAACTCAATTTAGAAGAATATGTGAAGATGCAATGCAACGAGACTGATAATATAAAATGTGTATATAAAGACGTTCCGGAACATTACTATTTTCATGTATAAAATAAATTTAATCGAATAAACTTGAGTCAATTATAATATTCTTCATGATAAGAGGATCCCTTTGTCAATCACCTTTACCTTAAAATAGTTATATTGTCATCCCACTACACCATATTTTCTCATGACACTAAATCACTTGCTAGTCACTGAATACTTGCCTTTATCCATAAAGGTTGATGGTTTGTTCTTTTCAATTGCTGGCATTGTTGTAAATATTTTAAAATATTTCAGCTATTATTTATATGGTTCTAATTCTTTGCTATAAAACAGAACTAGCATTAATGGCAAATATAGATTCAAATTACAATGTTACTAGTTTACTTAGAAAACGCGCTACCGGTGTTAGCTAATACGAATGGTTAAATTCCAGACCAACTATATTTTTCTACAATCAAAATGAATTCTATGGATACTATATTCTATATAACGTTTGCACGTTTCACTCCTGCCTACTGGCGTGTAAATGGCTGTCTTGAATGTCATACATTCTGAAATATCAAGCGTGAGAACTCTACACTGTTTTACCTGGACGATTTCAGGGTTTGCTTGTTTCGTATTGGCGGGATTTAGGAATATTTCAGACACGAAAATTGTTTTAAAATAAGTTTGAATTTTCAGATACTATGAGGAAAAAATAACTGTTCGCACAAAATATCGTAACGAATCGAATCAATATTATATAACGTGTAAAACTTGGACGCATTGCCCATATTCCATCAGAGTTGTAGATTAAAAGTAAAGTTTTTTGCCCGTTGTAGATATGAGATAATAGCCCTGCTATGCCTGAAGTATTTTGTTTCGGCTGAAACGCGTGACAGCGCATTTATCGCCGGTGCATTCTTTGGAACTGATACGTGTAATATTACCATTATTCTGTTTGCGAAAGAATTGCCATACCTTTGTCCTCAGGAGCTTTGGAATATGGCTGCGTTAAATAATCGTGCGAAGAAGTCGGTTGGAAAAGTAAGTAGGTTATTAAACAAATAATGCGGCTATTTTTATTGAATTTGAATTACGGTATATGGATTTATTGGAATTTGTGTGTTTATCCACACTTTGACGCTCATAAACCAAAAAGACTTCGTGTGGCGTCTTGTGCAACCATAATCATATCTGCTCTTTGATTCAATGTCATATCTGGATTTTTCTTGATAAACATAGAAAAACATCTGCTTTGCATCAATAGTTTATTTCTAATTCTCAGATCGAAAAGTAGGAGAAGATTTAAAGAACGTGGAAACCATATCCAATCTGGTGGATGATGTATCGAACATAACAAGCGATGCAGGTTAGCATAGAACTAGGAATGAATAATATATATCCAGGCGGGTTGTCCACAGGAAACGTCCATCACACATTTGTATTCTCCACAGGACAGATGCTATGTCATAGCAACGTGATACGTCAAAACTAAACTTGGTCTTTATACCTTTTTACTCTTCTTTTTTACTTTATATACTTGTATACAGACAATGCAGGGGTTCTCGAGCGGTAGGGAAAGCCACACAAAGGGGGCGTAGAAGATTATTCAAGAGGCGTGAAGCTCATTAAAAATCGAGATATTTGTTAGATTTGATCTTGACCTCTTTTACATTTCAAAATTTTTAATTTATTTCATTATTTACGTTCCACTCACGTATTTGCAACGTGTTTTTGAATAAAACGTACATTCGACTTACTATCTGTTATAGCTTATGATTAGCTCGTTATTTGCGAGGTAGAGCGCGAGACTTGACAAATTCTAAAAAGGGGACGTGGCTTAAATTTTTAGTTTATCTGGTTGTAGGGGGGTCACCTATGGAACCCCCATATCTTGTCGATGAAAATGGGATTTCCTTGGGATAGGACATAGGACAAAAAATTTCCCATGGAAAAGCCTGACTATCTCATTGGGTCAATCAGCATCTGATTGTCCGTTGATATTCTACATTACATTTTCAGGCATCCATGCTGAGTTAACAAGAAGAATTGAGACTTAGGAAAATAGAATGAAAGAATTGGAACAAGAAGTTTTCAATAAAAATGCTGACGGTAAAACCCACCATTCTTCTCAAATTACTGTCTAATTTTACAAATTTTATTGCTAAGTTGTAATGCTGAGCTGGTAGAAACATTGAAAATCACACATGTACATTTCTCATTCATGCCCTGACGTGGGTATTATAGATTTAATATCAATATATATTCATTTTCCAATGTCAACTCCATGTCTACAGTGTATATTGCTTTGAGTAGACGACCAGTGGTGGGTTTTCTTTTATGTTGGACTCAGTAACAAAAGATTCCGTCATTTCAGAAAGCCATGTCGAACATATTGCTCCGAAAATACTAGCGATATGCTAAAAACGGGTTCGTTCGAACCCTCCGAATCCAACGATTGTAGCCTACACTCCCGAAAAGAAAAACCAAGTCTCATAATTTTCATATTTAATCCGAAACTGAGTAAATAGTTGCTGAGAAATAACAACTATATTAATTTTCAGTTTCGCCACTCCGAAAAGCATTTTACACAACTGGAATTCTGGTTGTTGTGACGATATTCTCATTTGTCGTGTGGAACAATATGATACATCGTGAAGGTATGCGTTGCCTGTATCGAATAACCTATTGCCCTAACGCTAAAGTGTCGCTTTACTCATGACCCCGGTGAATCTGTATTTCGTACTTCATGACGTAAATCACGAAGTGTTGTGATTTAATAACAATGCAAATATTCTCCAGCAATATCTAGAACAGCCTAGATCAGGGGTAGGCAACCTTTGTCGCTCGCGGGCCAAAATTGAAGGTTGAAACTTGCAAGTCATTGGCGGGCCGCACATATTTTTAGAAAGTTGAAAACCGAACGGATGGTACTTTTTATAATAAAAATCAAGCAGTGATACATCTCTCGAATAGAAAATAGATTTATTTCCTCATTGCATTGCATC